GACCGCAGTAAGATAGCTAGACCCGCGGTGCGAAGTCTGTTTCCCCATGTGACGGCAATTGTAATTGTGTAGTGAGAAGACCAAGTTCTGATCAGAATTCTATTTACTTTCTTATTTACATAAAAAAATCCTACTTAATTCTTCATGAGAGGGAGTCATCATAGTCGATGGAGAAGATCTGGTGGGGCTGCCATTTCCTCTAGGTGCTTAGACAAAACACCCTGCGTAGAGTGGCAATCAGTCGCCTCCAGCGTCGAGGTTTTCTTCTCTGTAGATAACAAAAAACGTAAGGAATATTCAGATGAATTTAAAGGCGCAAATATCACAAATGTCTTAACAAGGACAGCACATACCTTGACCGGTTTGGCAGGAGAAACTGGGCTTTTGTCTTGAAAAGTAAAAAAATTCCCATTAAGACTACGCCGAATGATGGATTGAATGCACGTGGTCTTTCATCACGAGTTGAGTTGGGGTCAGATACTCATAATCTCTTTAACATAGTAGACAATGTGGCCTAAAACTAATTTTGTCAAAGAGACTGTAAATATTGAAAAACTGCATTTCAGACATACCCATGGACGTCAGTTGCACGCACACAACTTCGTCGCCGCTGTCCAACACTGCAGTTGTCTGAGTCCACCTCATTTCAGTTTCCTCTGGAACTCCTGTCTGGAGGAGTCGTGTCAGTTGGTTCCGGGGTGAATCACCACCCCCTCTGAACGGAAGATCAGAACCGCGAGTCTCGCTGATGTGGCTGCTAAGTAAGCCGACTTCATCGGCAGGCGAGAGACGCGAAATGAATAGGGGTGGTGGCGGCGATGAGGGCGGCGTCGGCGTCGTCGTCGGCGGTGGCGGCGGCGGCGGCGGTCCCGTCAAGGTCTTCAACGGCACCAGCATCGCGGAGGGTGACGGGAATAATGGTGGAGACGAGGTAGACGTTGTCAACAGTTCTGATGATGAGGACGGTTGGGTTGATAATGGCAATGGACTTAACCCCTTCAACACCTCTGGCATTTGAGACTGTGGAAGAGAAAGTTGTGGGGAAGGGGTCAGCGTCGACAAGGGTTCCGGCGGTGGTGTCAATGGGGTTGAGGGTTTCGGCGACGACGGCGACGGCCACGCAATCAGTGCATTTAGGAGCTGAGACGGAGTCGGGGATGGGGTAGGGGACGGCGTCGGAGACGGAGGCGTGTACTCCTCTGCAGTCGCTACTGTCTCCACCCGCTTCAGGGTCAACCATCCTGGTGGCGGTGGTGGTGGAAGTGGTGGTGGGTGTGCCAGTGCGGACAACGGATTGGGTGGCGTTGGGAGTGTTGGGGTGGCCGAGTGTCGCGGCCGTGGGCAAGGCCGTTGTGGTGGCGTCGATGGTCTGCACGACTCCAAGTCCAGCAGACAGGAAAACATAGGTGGTAGAGTTTTTGACGGCGAAATCGGCGCCGTGAACGGATGAGGTGGTGGAGAATGTGGGAGTGGCGACTTCCTTGATCGCATTGGTGCCATCAGCGGCAGTGGTGGTGTTGGTGGCTGCGGCTGTGGAGGCGGTGACAGAGGCGACATGGCTGCTGGTTGGCATTGTTTCAGAGCCAACCTGCGAGATCGCGGACGTGGAGTCGGACGGGGATTCGATGCACTAAATGCTATCGTGGCGGGTCCCGTGTCCCTGTGTTGGGGATCATGCGTGGGGGTTGAGGATGAGGACGATATTGATGAAATGGAGCTTCTTGAACCGGCTGCTGATACACTATCCACTCCACCTTCTGACTCCTTATGGTGCGCGGAATTTGATGATTGCGTTATGGGAGTTGAATTAACTTCCAGAGTGCGAAGGTCTTCTTCACTTGTGAGGCTCAAGCGACTGACATATTCCAAACTTGTTGCCTGGGAGATTTTCTCACCTAGTCTAGAGGGAGCTGATCTCCATCGGACAGCTGTGTGCTCGGTGCCAGTTGTCCATATGGATGTATCGGAGGTAATGCTTATGTCCTGTTCAATGCTAGATTCCTCCTTCCTGTCCGCATCTCTATTGTCCTTAAAAGTCATGGGAGTTGTAGATGACGATGCTACGCTAAGTGTGCTGACGGGTGTTGTGCAATTTGGCCATTTGTACGTATTTGATGGTGATACACTAGGAACTAGAAGACAAGCTCAATAAAGACGATTAAGTGAAATCTGATCTAATTATAGGAAGATATTCATGAGTTAAAATGGATTCATGAAAGCCGACACCAATAACCTAAAATAATGCTTCTTTACGCCTAAGGTCATCCCTTATAATCGGTCGTGCGTATTGGATAAGTGCTGCTTAGCTGGCTTAAATAAATCAAGTCGGTTAAAAGGATGGGTCAGTGCAAGATAGAACATGCATGCATAAAGACCTTGTGCGATGCATATACCTTATTCATAATTACTCGAATTACTTCAATTATAGGGACTCACATTATTGCTAAGGTGTTGTAGACGAGGAGATGAAAAAAAGAATGAATCCTGAAAGATACAAGAAATGGACTTACTGCTATCTGAATACGAGGTATTGTCCCTATTCTGACTGAACATGCCCTGTTCATAGGGCAATATTGAAGATCCAGCTGCATGTGGATCCTGGTTCCACCACTGAATGTAACGGCACAATAGTTTGGACGGGCTCAGCATATCGTAAGTTGTCGAGTTGCTTTGTGACGCAGTTCAAGTTTTAAATCGTATTGATTGGTTTCGTGCGACCTTGAACCCGACCAACCACGCGGATGCCCACTGACGGTTGTTGCATCAGGTGGTGGTCACGTGTTACGGAGTAGAAGTAGGGTAAACCGTAGAGGAGGGGATTCAGTTGATGAGGAATTAGGTGGACAGGCCTGATATTTTGCGGTTTTTTCTTCATGCAGGAACGATGAGAAATGCCTGAAGTAAAGTTCCTTGCTTGTGGCGTTCACCGGTTTAGAGAGCGTATTTAGTCCTTTTAATATTGTAAACGTATTTTACAAGAATTCAGTTCTATTAGACGTATCCGTATTCTTCCTCCTCAACCATGACTAACTGAGTAGCTTTAAATTTCTGGGAGTACCTTCGCTGAGGGCTGATTTCCGTCTCCTTTTCATGATTAAACATATTCTGAGAGATTTCCACCACTCCACCTGTTAGTCGTTTTATATGACATTCGTAATACTCCCTTAAGATTCATCTGTTCTTCCCTGCTACCTCTAAACATTTTGCTTATATCAGCTTTTGTTAGAAGGCTCTTCTACCCCATGGAATATTTTGGGGTGTTTTCGATGCGGGAAGATGACTAAAGTAGGATTGTATGATTAAAGATTTTGTTGCGGAATGCTCAAATATTTCAGTCATATGAGCATACCAGCTTTCGAAAGAGCTTCGTTGGTTCCGACCGGATAAATTGAACGCAGGAAAAATAACTAGTCGATTAGTATGGATTTCTCAAATTGATTTTCGCTGCTCTCATTAATTCCGATATCTTTCTCAGAAAAAACACTCAAACTCATCGTTCTTTTACTCATTTAGTGGAGAATTATTTCTTTGAACTTCATGTTTAGAAAAGAGTATCACCAAGTTGATTAAAGTTTATAATTCTAAGATTTTTTTAAAATTGTGAAATGTATTTTCATAAACCACTGTATCTCCTCGTTCGTTAGTGCTACTAGTGAATCGAATCCTCTGCAAAATTTCATGAAAACCGGATGGCTTTTTCTTGGGAGCACATTGAAATGTGTTTTTTCCGTTTTGGGAAAATCATGCATCTTGTAGTTTTGAAGCCCTAAATGCGAGGGAGACGACAGGTCTGGTTCAAAGTGATTCGGGAACTGGAGAGTTTTTTATAACCCAATGATACAATTCCTTCAAATATACAATCGGAAGAAATCGTAACATTCTGCCAAATGAGTGCTAGAAAGAATATTTTTTGTAGATGTTTTCTGTAAAATATACTTAAATTTAGAAGGGCGTGAAAAACCAGCGCAATAATTAATGCTACTTAATTAGTTATTTTGGACAACAGGACGTTTAGTATAGTTTTAAAAATCAGCTTTGCATGTCCGTGCGATTTCGTGTCCTGAAGTGCAGTAATAACGAACACCGGCATGGCTCAATGTCATTTTGCCATTTGAAGTCATACGAGTTGACACAGAAATGACTACCACCGAATAGTCGTTTCCAGTCTTGAACATATGGAACATTACATCTCGTGCGACCAAGCTTCTGTACGTACGCAATGGAACGAGGAAAGCATTAACAGATTCAGTATTTATATAGCCACACTGCCTTGCATTCATAAGCGTAGTGCGGAACCTGAAATTTGGCAAATATAGTGAAAATGGACGCAATCAAATGAGGAAACCACGTTCTTACTTCTGCGTTAGAAAAATATCGATATTTTTTTCAGCAAATTGCAAAATCATAAAGTACGCAGGCAATCGCTGGCAGACTGCCGTCTTGTGGCGATCCTTAAACAGGTAACATATTAGAAATACTTTTCTAACGAATCGAAAGCATATTCGATTTTGACTATTTTGTGAACGTTATTTTTTTGCGCCAGTGAGGTTTCGGGTTTGAGTGAGTCTTCCAATTTGACCAAAACGAACATCTAAATGAAAAAGAACGGCTCAACTCTCTCTACTGTGGTAAGTGCCTTCAAGACGTATCTTATTTTAAAGGTTTTATTGAGCAAATAATACAGAACATGCCTTAATTGACGGTCAATAGAAAACCGAAAATCACGAAATATTCAGCGAAATCTCAAGGGCCATCTGAAACTCAAAGTGATCCGGAACAAGGAAGAAGTGCGAACTGATTTGACGAACGGAAAATTCTTTTAACATACACTAGATGGTAAGTTTATGGCTGCATCCGTTAAATCTATTTAGATTGATGATTTACCGACAAGTTGCCTTATGGAGCTGTTGGTAAACCGGCATACCGCATTATACATAGTCTTAAAAATATTTTACTGTAAATTTCACTAAATGTCATTTTATTTGCGCGGTCATATTTAGTCAATTCGCGGGCATTGGAATACAAAATATACTAAGTTACAACCATCTCGGACGTTTTTTGAATTTTCTGCTTTCTCGAATAAACTGATACTTCTAAACAAGTTAATATTGCCGTTTATGTTTATTTTACGTCTTCGATTCCCTTAAAGCTAGCATTCATTAATTTAGATATGGATTCCATGGTCTAGTGTCAGTTTGCAAGTTATTAACGATCATTGGTAACTTTCGACACCTTTCATCAGATAGGTCACAAATCCTCTTTCGAATTCCATTCTACGTTTGCATCCTTCGCCATTTAAACCAGTGCTCACTTTGGACTGGTACTGTTCTCTGGATGCTCAACAATAGAAGTACTACAAACAGTAGTATTGTTTATTTAGCCGCGATTACCGGATGCAGGCTCCGGGATAGATGCTGCTCCAGGAAGCCTATCGTTGAACCAATCTCCAATACGGGACGGTGGAATAGAGGCTGCAGGTGGGGAAGCAGAATGTAGAGGACCAAAGGGCTCATCCGGAGGAGTGTCAGGGACGGCAGCCTGGAGGCGGTCCACAATCACTACAGAGCACTCGGAATGGGCCGTCATAGGTCGGTTCCAGGGGCCGGCAGACTCGATCACATCGAAGCTAGACGTGCGAGCACGTTGCCATGTTCTTCTAGAGATAAGACGGAGAGGCCGAGGACCTGGGAGGAAACGGAGAAATTGTCCGCATAAACTGCCGGAGGCGATGCAGGAGGTTGATGGGATCCTCAAATGCACCTCGCGGGGTTGGCGAGATCAGCTCACCGGGGAGTCGGACGGTGGCACCGAACACCATTTCAGCTGCGGAACAGTCAAGGTCCGGTATGAAAGCGGAGCGGATGCCCAAGGGGACCAGGGGAAGGTGGTCCGTCCAGTTCTCCGGATCGGCCGCGGCGCGTAGAGGGGCCTTCAGTTGGCGGTGAAACCGCTCGACCATCCCGTTAGCAGCCGGATGATAGGCTGTTGTCCGGATGCGGGTACAGCTTAAAAAGGAGAGTAAAGACTGGAAGAGGTTAGACTTAAACTGGGCACAACGGTCAGTCGTGATTGTGGAGGGTGCACCAAAGATAGCAACCCAACGACTGAGAAGAGCCCTGACCACCGTTGGAGCAGCAATGTCAGGCAAGGGAATTGTTTCAGGCCACCGAGTGAACCGGTGAGGAGATAGGAGCAACCATTGGACAGAGGCACGGGGACTACAATGTCCAGGTTGACGGGGCTGAACCTTGAACAAGGGCCGGGGAAGGTACCAATGCGGGCCTTGTTGTGCCGCTGGATCTTACTCCGTTGACAGGCGCTACAAGCCCGTGTCAATGTTTTGAGGTCTTTGTGCATCCCAGGCCAGACGAAGCGGTCGGAAGCCAGCTTGTCGTTTGCTAGACTCCCAGGGTGAGAGAGATTGTGCAGGGAGGAGGATGGTGGCACAAATGGACGATGGGAAGGGGTGGATACGTCGCATAAGATGGTGCCGTTGCCAGTTGTCAGTAGTAGTTCCTGAAGTTGGGTTTCGGAATCATCCTCATCACAGGGTGAACCGACACGGCGTTCTTCAGCGGCCATCCTAGTGAGGTATCCCGGATGAAATCTGAAGATGAGCGATAGAGGGCCTGGAGAGTGCGTCAGCCACCTCAATCCGTGACCCGTCAATATGGTGGATGTCTGAAGTGAACTGCGAAATGTAGTCCAGGTGGCGGGTCTCCCGGGGGCTTAGCTTGTCAGAGTGGGAATGCATTTCAAATATGAGTGGCTTATGATCTGTGAAACTTGTGAACTCTCGACCTTCGAGTAAATGCCGGAAGTGCCTTACTGCATGATAGGGAGCAGGAAGTTCACGTCCGAATGTGCCGTAGCGGGTTTCGGCCTTGGATAGTTTCCTGGAGAAGAAAGCCATAGGCACGTTAGAATTTCGTAGACTTTGTTGAAGAACCGCGCCAACAGCAACATTGGAGGTATCGACCATCAGAGATATGGGTGCATCAGCATGAAAGTGGGTCGGGAGGTTGGCATCAGCCAAAAGGGCTTTTACCTGCTCAAATGACGTGAGTGCTGCTGGTTTAAGTCCAATGGTGTGTTTAGAACCTGAGAGGTGACTGGTCAGATCTAGGATGGTATCGGCACAGTTCGGGAGAAACCGTCAATAAAAGTTCAGCATACAAAAGAAACCGTTGCAACTGACGCTTCGAGGTAGGGAGTGGAAAGTCCCGAATGGCGGCAACCTTTGAGGGAAGAGGTTAAATGCCGTTTGAGTCGATCAGGTGACCTAAGAACTCAAGAGAAGTGGCTCCTAGGACACATTTGACAGGATGCAGGGTGACACCGAACTGCTGACATCGGTCGAAAAACACGGTAAGGTGTTGGAGATGTTCCCTGATATATCGACTGGCGACGAGAACATCATCAATATACGCATGAACAAATGGAAGGCCACGTAAAAGGCGGTCACTTAAACGTTGGAAACTCTGTGAGTCATTTCGGAGACCAAATGGCATACGAAGGAAATTAAACAAGCCAAAAGGAGTCGCCACTGCCGCTTTGGGAATGTCCTCAGCCGCAATCGGAATTTGATGAAAAGCCTGGACCACACTGATCTTCGAGAAAACGGTTTTGCCACAGAGAGCGCTGGCAAAGTCCTGAAGGTGAGGAACCGGATACCGGTCGGGCATAGTGATATTGTTAAGGGCTCTATAATCGCCACAAGGACGCCAATCATCCGCATTTGGTTTAGGAACCACGTGCAAAGGAGATGCCCAGGGACTGTCAGACTGCCGAATAATGCCTAGTTGCAGCACATGGTCAAATTCAGCTTTAGCAGCTGCAAGACGCGCGGAAGCACGACGACGGGGACGAGAGAATATGGGAGGACCAGTCGTTTTTATGTGATGAACAATTTCACGGGGCAATGAGGTGTCGGAGAAATGGAGCTTAGTGAGAATAGGATATTTTGCTTGAAGTCTACGAAATGGACAGTCAGGGTTTGGGTCAGGGGCGAATAAATGGTTGGAAGTTGAACATGGAGGAAATTCTTTGACGGTGAGGGTAGTTGCGCGGTCATGGAGGTGAAGTTGCCTGCAATCCACCGGAAGGTCAAAGGCGGCCAAAAAATTAGCATCAAGGACGGCGGTGGGAACATCAGCAACCACAAATATCCAGGCGAATAATCGCCGGAGACCAATATCCAGAGAGAGGGATCGAAGTCCAAAGCTTGTAGTGGAGGATGAGTTTACGGCTTGATGACCACCGTTTGGGCAACGTCGGTCGGCTGGCATGAGAGGAATACCACTAATTTGAACGCCAGTGTCGACTAAAAATGTCTGCCACTCGTGTTATCAGAAACGTAAAAGGTGAGACCAGTAGAGTTGCCAGAGAGCTCGGCCGCATTTACTCTCCGGTCGAGGAGTTTCCCTGCGTGGACTAGAAGGAGCGGGGTGAGATACAGCGCCAAGCCTTATCGCCATAGTTGACATGACACCAGCATAGGTTTGTGGTCCTGGGGCGAGAGCGGGAACGACGACGGTCACGACCGAAGGAACGTCGAGAGGGACCGGGGGATCGGCGCAGCTGCAAAGCGGCAACAGTCGCTGACAACTGGGCAATCTGTGTCTTTAGTTCAGCCGGGTCAGAGGTGGACACGGTTAGAAGCTGGGGAACCTGAGTAATCGTCGGCGATGACAAACGCTCAACCTCCGTCATACGGTCGGCCATCTGTGCTAGCTTTGATATGTCAAGATCGTCTGAGCCAGAGACCAAGATTGTTTGTACCGACATCGGCAGACGTTCTAAGAACATCTCTTTAAAGAACTTGTCGTCGATGGCCATGTCCCCAACGAGAAAAGGGATACGACGCAAGAGTTCCGACGGCTTGCGACCACCTAAGGCCTCCTCTTTTACCAGTGCGTGATAACGCTGCCGATCGGAGACTGATATCAGGCGAAAGGGTTCAGCCTTTAACTTGGTGTAGGGAGCATCAATCGGGGGATCTCTCAGAAACGTCTGCACTTGGGAAAGAATGGTAGGTGGGAGGGCCTCGGCTAACTTATAATATTTTTCTGTTTTGCGTGTTAGCTCGACGGAGTGAAAGGTCGCCTCAATGCGGGAAATATAAAGCTCTGGCGCATGTTGCGAAAAGTCTGGGAGAGACGAAACAAGTCCATTGAGTAAAGTATTGGCATCGTGGGAATTCGTAGTAGTCATGATGGTAGAAAGAAGGACAGCAAACGGACTGTAGGCGAATAGAAAGTTAACAAATTAAAGGTATAATTGCGAACGTCAAAAGGTCACCACTGTCGCGAGCGCTAAGGACAGAACCGTCAATCCCAGACTATGGATATCAGGATAAGATCAGAGTTACGAAAGAATTAACAGTCAGAAGTCAAACGACCTGACAATTCACCACATGCCAAGGAAGGTAAATATTGAACGCTCGGAAAGAGCGCAATATGAGACTGAGGATTGCGTATTACATGCTGCTGCCTACTGAATTCGAAAACAGTAGTGTCACTTTTCCAGCTTCAACAGAGATGCCATCTGTTCAGTCACTGCACCTCCACACGGAAAGCTTTCGTGAAGGCGAGTACTACGGATTCTTCTTTCCCCAACGCCTTTAGAATAGGTGTGTTTTTCGATACGCTGTGATCCATATCAATGGTTTTGTTCCATTTGTCCCCTGAGGTTCGGTTTACCTTTCGATAAGTTGCCGTCATTACAGGCCACACGTTCAGCCGCCTTGCCTTTAGCGACTACGACATCAATGCCATCCTTTGAGTCACTGTACCCACAAACGAAAATCTTTCATAAACGGCAATAACTAGAGATTTGCTTCCCCGCTCTATTAGATTCAGCTTGCTTTTCGATAGGTTGCCATCCCTACCAGCAGTTTTGTTCCCTCCATCCTTTCAATAAGTTGCAGTCAAAGGGGCCACATGTTCAAAAGCGTTGCCTTTAGCGGGTAAAATATCGATGCCAGCCGTTCAATCACTGTACGCTCACACGGAAATCATTCGTAAACGGCAAGTGCTAGAGATTTTCGTCCACCGATCCTCGTTAGCTTAAGTTCAACTTTCGATAAGTGGTCAGCCATTGCGTCCTGATATTCACATTTGTTACTTTACCGCCTCAACTGGAATCCCCTGCTTTTAGTCGCTGCAAGGCTTCCACACGGTGATCTTTAGTGAAGGCTAGTACTAGGAGTTTTATTCCTCGAATTCTCTTAGATTCGGTGTACCTTTCGATAGGTCTCCGTCCATACCAGGGGTTTTCTTCCCTCAGACCCCTGGAGTTCAGTTTGCCTTTCAGCGACCGCTGTTTCCGCACCACAACAATCGCAGTCACTTTCGCCGCGCGTATCGACAAGCGATATTAACACAAATTTAAAAAACACACCAAAAATCCGTTTAAGGGACCCTTTGGTGGAGACGGAACCATATTCTGTACTGGGATTGGTCAAGATGATCCCAGAGAGACCTTCCCTGAGACCGGCCCACTTTCCCGCAGTTTCCTCTTTAACTAGTTTCAATACACCTCGATGGCGTCTGTGTGGCGGTCTGTTTCAGGATCCTTAAAATTCCTGGAGTGGTTGATCATGTAGTGCTCGTACCCTTCTGCGGGTATGGTACTGTATGCCTCCCATTCGACAATACCGAGAATGACCGATCTCATGAAATGGCTGAAATTCTGAAATGTGTTTTCGATTAGGAAGGTTTGCTTAAGTGGGGTCAAAACATTCATTCTCATGGGACCTAGTCCTAATATATTTTGGTCTTGGCAGGGTGTCAGCTTTTGAATGCTTAACATTTTAATCTTCAGTCAAATCAGTACTCGGTGAAAAATGACTACTTATGTGGCATGCATTTTTTACAATGTTTCTTAATGGTCTTGAAAATTCAAATATATTTTTCAAAATCCCCGAACAAAAATGTGCTTTCATTTAGTCGTTTGATAGAGAATCACATCGTCTTTATATTTTATACTCAAAAGAAGAGTATAATTATGTTTTAAAAAAGGTTCCTAGTTACCGAATAATTTTGAGCCCGATCAGCCGTTGCATTAGCGCTTAGCGATTTCAGTCTACAAGGTGCATGTGTTCCTCGTAAATGAAATCACATATTATTCTATGTCTTTAAAAAGATGCTGTATATTATCCATATAATTTTGCAATGAATGCGGACCATGTTGTACATTTCGTGAGGAGCAGTGGTAAGCAGACAGTTACTATGCTGTATGAGTGGACATTGCACAGTCTTGAAAAATCTCATAATTAGAAACTTTTGCGAAACCTAATTATACCCCTTGTTCGAGTAGTTGTTTCGAATACCCATCTTCAGAGACTGAAAAGTCCTACGCACAGCTCCCCTTATATGGCGCACTTTGTTTAATAAGTGACCCACCAAGGCCCTCTGTGTGGCTGCATCCAACCGGCATGTCACCGTCACTCGCAATTACTCGAAACGTTGGACCTCCAATAAACCCCTTCCGGTGAACGCCTCTCCTCCTTTTAATAAAAAATATTCTTCAATGTTAATTGCCTCCGTTATTTTCAATTAAATATCAACTATTCGGACATTAGGCGTCATTACTTTGCGAGTGTTATATTTGGATTATTTTGGAGCTACGGGGTTAAATATCTTCCTATTTTAGTTTGCCGGTCCACTTTCAAGTTCATTAACGGAACTACTTTGGCTTATTAAAGTTTTTATAACAGACTTCACAAAAATGTCCTTTCCGCCTGTCCACCTTCTCATCCATTTGCCCCGCCCGCAAAACCCCTCCTTCCACCTGTTCCGTAAGACACGTGGACGTATCTTGGGTTATTTGGAATGGGTCTCATCTTGTGTCGATGCCTAACGGTCTACCGCAAATTTTCTTATGATAGTAAATTGCGAACTGGAAGCAATGCTAAATGTTAATCATGCATAAGCGATTTAACAATCGCAAATGCCCTCCTCATTTGTTATTCTACCTGACATGAATTCAGCCTCCTGCAAACATTGTCGGCCCTGAATTGCTTAACTTGTTCACACTTGCATCATGTATATCAAAACGGGGCCTGATCAACGATTAAAAGCGTAGGAAGAAGCCTCCGATGTAATTTTCGGAATTTCTTTTTGATTGCATGCAATATCGCTGCACTAGGGGGTCATTGCAGCCACGTACTCGGTCCACTAGTCCCCATAAAATGTCCCCACGATGTATTTGTGTGTGCAGGTGGAAAGAGGTTTAGTGAGGTGTAGAGGTGCAGACGAATATCAGCTTGCTATATGGACCAGGACTCGCAAAAATTTATCACGTAGAATATTACGGAATTGCAGATAATGTACTCTGTCTAAGTGAAAAACCAAAACCTCTTCAGGTTACGGTCGTGGTTAGGCAGTGATGTGGATATCTCCTGTGGATGTGTAGGTGCATTCGACACTGATGGTATTGCGTGTGGCACGTGAAATATGAAGTAGGGTAGGAAGAAGCTAGTTAGACGCCGCGTAAGTGCTGATATGTTGTTGACACACAGTGAATGCGCCATCAAATAAGATGCTAATCAAAATTCCCAAACGTGTCTTTGACTAAAGAAAATTGCTCGAGTAAATTCGTGAGATTGATTGTCGCACTGAATAACCACGAGATATTTCAGTCAGGTCAGGATTCTGACCTTCAAAAAAATCGCTTTCTGACCGCATGCAAAAGCTGAATTTCGTAATATGATTCATTCCTATTAATATTCCTTGTCTTTATACACTCAGATATATTATGTAGAAAACATGCACAGTAATATCTTTTATTGCGCTTAATTGGTAGCACAGTCTGTCGTCGAATTTCGTTCCTAGGTATAAGATATTTATCAATTTTGAAAAATGTATCGATTGTGGGATTTTTTAAAACCGTTAAATGTCTGCCTATAAAGCATCGGATATGACCGTTTAAAAATGCTGCTTGCAAAGTATGGAACGTGGTCCACAAACCCTACGAAATTTTAAGAGGACCAAGTTGATTCCCCTTAATAGTATACATAAATGTGTGATCCTCCTTACAGAGAAGATATATAGGCTGTAGTTTAGAAACCCAGAATACAAGTGCGACGACCAGTCAAGTCCAAATTCATTCAAAAATTGAGGTCTTTTAACAACGAAAGATGTGACCTCTTTAAACGCAAAATTTAAGGATGACTTAATCCGCTGCTGACTAAACCAGGAAAAATAGTTTTGCGCAGTTTTTCGTGAAATATATTTAGTTATATAAGGGCATCCAAAACCAATAGCCGAAATTCATTCTACATAAGCAGTCATTTTTACAAAGTTCACTTTTTGACAGCGGCTGGTATGAAACTCATTAAAAAGCCGACGTTCTGATGTGACTAAAGTACCTTGTGATCAAAGTGGGTGACATTTGGTCTTGCAACGATAATTGAGTAATCTTTTCTAACCGAATTTCGATTATAATTCTATGAGATAGCACATCACCTCTATGTTATAAATCGAGAAATGGAAACGATCAGGTGGAGGAACACAAATTCACGCGACCACTGAAAGGTGTCTGTGTTACGGGAAACGTGGAAATAGGGGTTTTACGGGCGGGGCCTATGCATGCCTAGAGATATGACAGAAGGAATAGATGCAAATACTGAAAATAAGAGGAGGAGTAGGAGGAGGAGTAGGAGAGATCCCAGAGCTGAAGGACAGCTCCCCAGTTAGTAGGCTCCACTCTCTACCTTCCTTTTTGGCCTACGGAACAAAGTACGAATTTAAAGACTAACACAAGCCTTATTTCAATTCAAATCAAAGCATCGGTGATGATTCAGCTCAAAAATATGGACATGAGATGAGTGTGAGAAAGGATAATCTTTAAATCATGAAATACATGAGAGCGAATTTAGTGCATAACGGACGGACATAGAAAGCTGATCATATAGAGATAATGGCTGGGGGAAGTTCGTATAATGGCTTTTAACTTGAACCGACTACATAGGCCAGTTTACGGAAATCCTCGTAATGGGTTCATCCCCACCGCGTATGGTTATTCAGGATACAGGTTCTCAGTAGAAGACTAGATGACATCAACAGGCTCGCCAGAAAGAAGGGAAATGCCATCTAAAAAACGGTCGAAATCCATTATCAGGCCTTCAAATAGACGAACGAATATCTTGCCGTAGTTTGAGCAAGAACAAAACTCATTTTGCGGTTAACATTAAATGAATATCGAAGGGTAGGGAAACTGGACCAAGCTGTCTCCAGAATGATACCCAGTTGAAAAGTGAGGCAGGTCGTTGGTGGTTTTTCAGATCCGAACTCATTGAAACGTATTCATATCGGACGGTGTCTAGAAAAAGAAATTGGGTTGGTCGTGCTCGTTGCAAGAAGTTCTGAGGGCAAAATAGATGCCATAGACAGATTCACCAGTGCGGAATGAAAAGTACCGAACCAAGGATCGAAATCCAACTTTGTGCTCTAAAATAAAGAAGCATACGTAGGAGACTTGTAGTGCCATTTTCGTGAATGTGATATAATTTTGCTCCATAAACAGTCGAAATCCGACTTTCTGGGGGATTGCATATAGGAGGCCAACTCTATAACACTTCGTTGATATACAATCCGAGAGAGCTTAAACTTTGAGCGAGTCTTTATTACTTTTTTGGGTAGATCATTGAATTATAGAACCCACACACTTTTCTACAGTCTGTGCTAAAAATAGTTTTCTGAATAGGCCGGCCACGAATATGTGTGTTGTATCCAGCCGGTCAACTCTTGGAATTCTCCACGCCCTCCTCTCAAGTGCTTCCACATTTGGCCCCTGTTGACATTCCCCTTCCCCTTTTGTAACTTTTTTTTGAGCGCGATCGGCGTTCTTTTAATTAACTAATTTTGTATTCTGACCTTGAGCTGGGAATTCGATCTGCTCGAACATTAACAAAGGAATTCTTTGTCCAGGGTATCCATTGTTGAGTACTGTGGAATTCTTTGCTGGCAAAGTGACGCGTATAAACACCGAAAGCTGTTTTGGCTTATACGCGTCACTTTGCCAGCAAAGAATTCCACAATTTGTATGGTGGTAATATGGACATTTCAGAAGACGGAACGTGAATGCGCTATGTAGATTTGTCTGTTAGCAATTCCATCTTCTCCGTCGAAGAGGTCTGCCTTGCAAAACTGATGGTACCCTGGCTGGTGGGTCGGCCGTTTAGGACGCTCGAAGAGATTTCGTGAGGTCGGCTCTTCGTCCGCCCCCGGGCATCGGTTTTTAACTTCATTCTTATTTCTGAACGACTAAATTCGCTCTCTAAATCGGCGAACATCACAACCAAGAAATTTTACCTCAGGCATTTCTGATTGCTGTAGCATGAAGTGAAGCCGCCGAATAGCAGGCCCGTCCACTTAGTTCTGCATCAACTAAATCCCCTCCTCGAAGGTTCACGCCCGTTCCAGGAAACGAAACCGCATGGATATGCAAAGCTGACTTTCAATGCTAAGAAAAACGTGCTGTTGTCCAAAATAACTACTTGAGTAGGATTAGTTTTTGCATCGGTTTTCCACACCCTTCTAAATACGAGTATATTTTATAGAAAAGATGTACAAAAAATATTCTTTCTACTACTCATTTGGCAGAAAGTTACGAATTCTTTACATTTTATATTTGAAGAAATAGTATCTTTCGGTTTCAAAAAACCCTCTAGTTCGCGAATGATTTTGAAACCGACCTGTCGTCTCCCTCGCATTCAGGGCTTCTAAACTACAAAATCTGTATTTTCCGTGTTTGGAAAATCATGTATTCTTATGGGCTACTAAGACTAAGCCGTTCGACATTCATAAAATCTTGCAGGGGATTTGATTCATAAGCAGCACTAGCAAACGAAGAGATACGGTGGTTTATGAAAGGACATTTCAGGATCTTAAAAAATCTCATAATTATAAACTTAACTCAACCTGGTGATACTCCTTTCTAAGCATAGAATTTGAGGAAGTAATTCTCCGCTATAGTAGCAAAGGAACGACAATTTTAGGTGGGTTTTCCGTGAGACATATTGGAATTTATGAGGGCAGCGATAATTCATTGGAAAAATCCATGCTACTCAACCAGTCATTTTTCCTCAGTATAGTTTATCCAGACGAGACCAACGAAGCTCGGTCAAAAGCTGGCATGCTTATATGACCGAAATATTTAGAGGTGACGGAGATGAACAGATGACTATTAAGGAAAAATTACGAATGCCATGTGGAACAAATAACAAGTGCAGTGGTTGAAATCCTTCAAAATATTTCTAATCCGGAATAGCAGACTAAAGTCAGCTCTCAGCTGAGGGACTCACATTAATTTAAGGTTATTCAGATAGGTATGATTGAGGGGGAAGAATAAGGATACGTCTAATAGAAGTGACTTCTTGTAAAATACATTTATAATGTTAGAACGACTAAATTCGCTCTCTAAACCGGTGAACGCCACAACCAAGTAATTTTACCTCAGACATTTCTGATCACTTCAGCATGAAGTAAAAACCGCCGAATATCAGGCCTGTCCACTTAATTATGCAGCAACTGAATTCCCTCCTCTAAGGTTCACACTACTTCTATTTCGTAACACATGATCACCACCTGATGCAACAGCCACCGGTGGGCATCCGCGTCGTTGGTCGGGTTCAAGGTCGCACGAAGCCAATCGATACAACTTAGTCCTTGAACTGCGTCACAAAGCAACTCGACGAGCTACGAGATGCTAAGTCCAACGAGAATGTTACGTCGTTACATTAAATGGTGGAATGATGTTCCAGATGTAGCTAGATCATCAACTTTACCGTATGAACAAGGCATATTTACTCAGGATGTAGGCGGACCGCCATACGCGGATAGCAGTAAGTCCATTCCTCGCTCGTATCCTTCAAGATTCATTCTTTCATCATCTCATCGTCTACAACACTTACGCCACAATTTGAATGCGTATAAATAAAGTAGTTTGAGAAATTATGAATAAGGCATATGCATCGCAAAAGGTATTTATGAATGCATGTTCTAGCTTACATCGGCAGATCCTTTAAACCTGCTTTATTAATTATAGCCATCTAAGTGTCACATATCCAATATGTATGGCCACGGATGAGGGACGACATCAGGCATAGGGTAGCATTGCTTTAGATTGTTGATGTAAGCTTTCATGCATTCATTTTAAATCATGACTTTCTCCCTAAAAGTAGATCAGATTTCAAGTAATGAATTTTCTTCAACTTCTCTTCTAGTTCCTAGTGCATCACAATACAATAGGTACGAATGGCCAAATTGCGCAACTCCCGTCAGCACACTTAGCGTAGCATCCTCATCTACAGATCCCATGACTTTTAAGGACAATAGAAATGCGCACAGTAAGGAGGAATCTAGCATTGAACAGGGCATAAGCTTTAACTCTGATACATCCATATGGACAACTGGCACCGAGCACACAGCTGTCCGATGGAGATCAGCTCCCTCTAGACTAGGTGAGAAAATCTCCCAGGCAACAAGTTTGGAATATGTCAGTTGCTTGAGCCTCACAAGGGAAGAAGACCTTCGCACTCTGGAAGTTAATTCAACTCCCATAACGCAACCATCAAATCCCGCACACCAGAAGGAGTCGGAAGGTGGAGTGGATAGTGTATCAGCGGCCGGTTCAAACAGCTCCATTTCATCAATATCGTCTTCATCCTCAACCCCCACGCTTGATTCCCCACAGAGGGACCCGAGACCCCCAACGCTAGCATTTACTGCATCGAATCCCCGTCCGACTCCACATCCGCGATCTCGCAGGTTGGCTCTGAGACAATCCCAACCAGCAGCCACGTCGCCGCTGTCACCTCCACCAAGGCCGCAGCCACCACCACCACCGCTGTCGTTGTTGGCATCAATGCGATCAAGGAAGTCGCCATTCTCACATTCTCCACCACCTCATCCGTTCACGGCGCCGATTTCGCCGTCACTAACCCTACCACCAACGTTCCCCTGTCTGCTGGACTTGGAGTTGTGCAGATCAGTGACGTCACCACAACGGCCCTGCCCACGGCCGCGACACTCGGCCACCCTGACACTCTCAACGCCAACGAATCCGCCACCGCCAAGGTTGTTGTCCGCACTGGCACACCCACCACCACTTCCACCACCACCGCCACCAGGATGGTTGACCCTGAAGCGGGTGGAGACAGTAGCGACTGCAGAGGAGTACACGCCTCCGTCTCCGAGGCCGTCCCCTGCCCCCTCCCCGACTCCGTCTCAGCTCCTAAATGCACTGATTGCGTGGCCGTCGCCGTCGTCGCCGAAACCCTCAACCCCATTGACACCACTGCCGGAACCCTTGTCGACGTTGACCCCTTCCCCACAACTTTCTCTTCCATTGGCTCAAATCCCAGAAGTGTTGAAGGGGTTGAGTCCATTGCCATTATCAACCCAACCCTCCTCACCAACAGAACTGTTGACAACGTCTACCTCGTTTCCACCATTATCCTCATCACCCTCCACGATGCTGGTGCCGTTGAAGACGTTGACGAGACCGCCGCCGCCGACGCCACCGCCGACGACGACGCCGACGCCGCCCTCATCGCCGCCACCACCCCTATTCATTTCGCGTCTTTCGCCTGCTGATGAAGTCGGCTTCCTTAGCAGCCATCTCAGCGAGACACACGGTTCTGATCTTCCCCTCAGGGGGCGTGGTGACTCACCCCGAAACCCACTGACACGGCTCCTCCGGACAGGAGTTCCCCAGAAAACTGAAATGAGGTGGACTCAGACAACTCCAGTGTTGGACAGCAGCGGCGACGACGTTGTGAACGTGCAGCTGACGTCCAATGGTATGTCGAAAATGCGGATTTTAAATATTTACAGTCTCTTTGACAAAATTCGTTTTAGGCCGTAATGTCTACCGTGTTAAATGGACAATGTGTGAATAGAAGCGAAGAGACGAGTCCCAGGAGGCAGTCGGAAAGAAGGAGACATGATGGCTGGGACATGGGTCTTACTCGCCTGACGTTTCGGTTTCCTGCTCAAACCCATCTTTTGCTTTTGTCTCTGATGATGGGTTCGAACAGGAATCCGAAACTTCAGGCGAATAAAGTCCTTGTCCTATTGATGATGTCTTCTTCTTCAAGGGACGATGTGTATCTGCCCTGAACTCGGGTAATGACTTAAAACCACGTATATGGAATTCACCGCCTGACGTAGACTTCATGAGGTTTTTTTTTACTTTTAAGATAAAAGCCTGGCCCCGTCGCCCACACTGGTCAAGGTATGTGCTCTTCTTGTTAGGATGCTTTTGACATTTGCGTCTTTGAATTCATCTGAAGGTCACTTTCGTTTCTTTTATCTACAGAGACGAGAACCCCGACGCTGGAGGCGACTGATTGCCACACTGCGCAGGTTTTTTTGCCTGAGCACATAGAGGGAATCGCAGCCCTACCAGATCTTCCCCACCGACTGTGGTGACCGCCCACCTAGAATTAAGTAGTATTTTTGTAAGTTATTTACTAATTAAATAAACTTCTGATCAGAAATTGGTCTTCTCACTATACAATTACAATCGCTCCCGTACGCGGAAACAGATATCGCATCACGGTACGGCTAACTTATCGAGGTCCATGTGGGCGTGCTTATAAGGGAAGCTAGATCTTCGCTTTGTCTCTTTGCACTTTCTTGTACACCCGAACTTTACTGTACTCTTGTTTGAATATGCCAGAAATACACACAACCACCGGTTTCGACTTGCGATAACGCGTGTTCTGGTTTCGCTGCCGTCTTATGTTGATGGTTCATAAATCACTCTCATGTGACTGAATCCGTTTTATTTATGCGGGTTAAAACATCTGGGGGTTAATTCTCAGTCAAACCTCGCCGGTCTTGAATTTATCATGTCGGCAAAGCCCCATCAACGAGGACCAGCTTGAAACGTTTGTGAATTATCAAAAAGTATTCGCACTTTCTGTAGCAACTTGGTATAAGAGACAACTTAACTTTCTGTGAGTCCATACAAGAAGTCAAATTCGCCGTTTTTCCCATTCATTTCCTCAGTCGCCATTCATTGGTTGAACGCAAAATTCCCCACTTTGGGTTGAGTTTTTCCTGCAGACAGCATTATTTTGTAATTTTGATTATTGTTTACACGCTGCGTACGAAAACCACACATCGGGCTGCAAACGTCGGTCGCAGTTAGATAAGGCGAAAAACAGAAACTGAACTTAAAATAACGAACTCCTCTTGCGACATCTGCCTTGAAATTGCACCGAAGAACGGTTGAATTTGGCTTGCTGAATGTCAAGGCTTCGAAACCATGATTTCAAAGGGGGGAGGGGGTGGGGGGTGGAGAGAAATATAGATTTTTCAGTGAGGAGTGCTCATCAATCCCAGCGAGATTGAGCTGTCGAAATGTATATGAAGGAATTGAGGATTCTAAAGTAGCTATAGATGACACCTATGCGTGAAGGGAGAGAACGAAACAACATGGCGGAAGGGAAATAAAATGTACAGAAGAATTCAAAGACGCAGTTGACCTCCGTACAGAGGGAACGACACAAAGTGCAATCAGCCAGCACAAAATGAAAAAGCGAGTAACGTATAAGACAAAGGCAAGTAGTCTAGGAGCAAGTGACAAAATGATGTACGATGTGTCACTGCAGAAGAAAGGCACAGAAATGCTTCATACAAGTAGCCAATGTGGGTGTTTTGGATAAAATGGCGGGCGTCTCGAGAGCCAATGAAAGAGATGGAGTTTTTCCCGAGTTATCCCCGGAAGCAGAACGCAGAAAAAACCCTGGATGTTGAAGAGTTTGACTCAGGATTTAGAAAAATGGCACTGCATTAGGTGAAGAATAAGCTTTAGAAGAGCAATAAATCGCAACACCGGTGAAGTCCTTCTCGGGAATGTCTGCGCAGAGCAAGGATTCACCATAGGGTATATCACCTTCAGCATACGGACGACAAGAAGGCTACAAGGATGAGCGAATCTCTCTGTTACTGGTTACTCAATGTCAATCGTATTTTCACTGGATGGGGCACGCCACAGAAAGTGGTTATGAATGAAGTAGGCCATGGTAATGCCAGTTCGGTCCTCGGTCCTCGTGCACGAGGGACCATGTCTTCATCAAAACAACAAAAGGGCGGCCTAGATCCCACCCGCTTCAGTTAAGTGGGGTCGTTCTCTATACAGTTGTCATTTCTTCTAAAGAAATTATACTCAGTCTGTTCGGATGAGTAAGGCCTTCCATATTAAGAACATTGTTCACAATCAGTCATGCAGAAAAGTTCTAATAGGCCACAAACTTGTAGAATACAGACGGACCTCTCCTGCGGATATTTATGCCAGTCGAATTCAAAGGGTCAAACTGGCCAGAACATCATGGAGAAAGTTGGACCACCATGCTGGACGCAAGGACAGTGACTTGTGCGTGAATTAGTTCACATCTTGGAGAGTATGGTTCAAGACCAAGACAACAGACACTGCATTAGATGAAGACTACACTAGATGTGCTAACTCATGAAATGTCAAACAAAATTTCGAAATGCGTTCTCGTTTCGAAAAGATAAATTAAGTAGTGTTGTAAAAATAATCATGATGCAGCACAAATCTAAAAAGACCAGTTACCTCAGGGTGTCGGCTTTCGAAAGAACTTAGTTTTGGCTGCGTGCAAGATCTATACTCTGCAAAAAATGACTACTTAAGAAGTATGCCATGTTCTCATTGATTTTCGCTGCCCTTGAAAATTCGATTATATTTCATTGAAAACATGCATAAAAATCTTCATTCTTCTACTTATTTCGTAGAAACTGACGTCTTCTTCCAATTTTATATTCAAAAGAAGAGTATAATTCGGCTTTAAAAAACTTTTCTAATTCCCGAATAATTTTGAACTCGACCTGCTGTTACACTTGCATTCAGGGTTTCAAAACTACAAGCTGTATATTTTCCGTGCACGGAAAACCATGCATTTCTCTACGGTGTTAAGAGGAGACCATATGAGGTTCATAAAATTAGGCAGTGGATTTGAGCAATATTGCTAACTTCACAATCCACATTGGTAAATGAAGTTACATGACGTTTCATGAACGGCCATTTAACGGTATTTAAAAATCTCACAATAAGAAACTTTTTTAAAACCGAATTATACTCTCCTTTTGAGTATGAAATTGAAAGAAGACGTGATTTTTTACCAAATAAGTAAAACAATGAATATCTTTATGAATGTTTTCCATGAAATATAATTGAATTTTCAAGGGCGTCGAAAATTAATGAGAAAATTGCATACTTCTTAAGTAGTCATTTTTTGCAGAGTATAGGTCTTGCATGCAGCCAAAAAAAGTTCTTTCGAAAGCCGACACCCTGAGTTAACTGGTCTTTTTAGATTTATGCTGCATCATAATTATTTTATAACACTACTTAATTTATCTTTTCGAAACGAGAACGCATTTCAAAATTTTGGTTGACATTTCATGAGTTAGCACATCTACTGTAAGATATAAAAGAGCAATGTATCGCAACACCAGTAAAGTCCTTTTCGGAAATGTCTGCGCAGAGAAAGGATTCACCATAGCATATACCATCTTTAGCCTACGGACGACAAGAAGGCTACAAGGATGAGCGGATCTCTCTGTTACTGCTGACTCAATGTCAATCGTATTTTCAGTGGATGGGGCGTGCCACAGAAAGTGGTTATCAATGAAGTAGGCCGTGGTAATGCCAGTTCGGTCCTCGTGTGCGACGAGTCCACCACGTGTCCTACAGCATGGTGGGTAGCCCAACGCCCTAACCATTGAGCCACGGGCTCGTTGTCCTATCGGTTGTGATCGTACATATTAACTGTGGTAGAGGGGCACTTACCAATCGCTCACGGGAAGTTCTCGTCCCCTTGTGTCTTTTAGTTTAATGTAGGGCCCATGAGCTTACTTACACAGCGACGATGAACATATGCGAAATGAAACATCAAGAAAGGCAACAGAGGCTTGGAAGTCCATTTCTGGTTTATTTGTCGTCATCCGCCTGCCAAAACCTCTAAATAAGTCAGAAGCAAATGTGGGTGTTTTGGATACAATGGTAGGCGTCTCGAGAGCCAATGAAAGTGACGGAGTTTTTCCCGAGTTATCCTGGAAGCAGAACGCATAACGATACTCAGGAGTGACTGTGCTGGTTATTGCTAACAATACGCATGAAAATCTTCACTTACAAGTCCCACGACTGTCAGTTTAATTCAGGAAAAGTCGTCCGCATGGATATTTGAGTAAACCCCAGAGGCCTACGTTCGAATCCGAAAATGAGGGGTACGACAAGACTTCCAGCTGCAGTAGATGGTGTTGAACGATAACCAGGCATATTGCAAATGGGTAAAGGTGAAACATATCTCCAACTCGGGTTGTCAACCGATCGCGAGTGCTATTGACAGAAATCGGACGATCAAATTATGAGCAGGAGTCAACCCGTCCTGATGATAGTAAACGCTGTTGAATCTACCAGATGAAGACTAGGTATTGGACAGTTAGCTGGGCATGCACCAGGATATATCCGCAAACATTTGTCAGACGTAACTGCAGTCCAGAATATTTCAGCAAACACGAAATCAGGAAGGTGCCTCAATGTTTTACACATATGCGCAGAGCGAGCT